TTTTATTATTTTATGTTCTGATATGCACATTTCAGTTTTATGATGATGTCAATAGTTAATGGTGTCTGTGAAGAGACCTCCTTCCTCTTTGCTAAGCTGTGAGCTCCAGGCCCTGATGAGATGACAATGTGGTGATTGTCAGCGCGCTGTTGCCACTTCAGTCATGACTTTTTAATGCTGTTTTCACATGGGAGCCCTCCGCAGAATGATAAACAGATGCCTAATGCTTTTATGGATGTGATTTTCCTCCCCTCTCATTCTCTCTCTCTCCATCTCTATTTTGTTCTCCACCTCTTCTACTCTTACTTCCCCTGCTGCCCTTCTTTCTCGCTGCCATGAACCTCACTCTTACTTTTTCCTCTTCCTTTATTCTTTAACTCTTCTTTGTCTCCGTTTCTCTCGCCTCCTGCAGGTGTTGTGTCTGATCACGGCTCCAGTGACCATGATCCTATCCTCGCAGCAGGACGCCTCCTTTGCCTTTGCCGCTCTAGCAGTCGTCTTCTCTGCCTACATCACTCTGGTGGTGCTTTTCGTACCCAAGGTGCTTTGACTCGTCACCGACACCTCTAGGAAATGTTGCACACACTGAAAAGTACACTCGCATTGCAGTAAAACCAAAGTTCAAAACGTACCGGTCTTTAGGGAGAAGGTCCAGCCTGTACTACATGGTGCATGGAAATCAGAAACTTCTAAAACAGTCTGATATTTCCTATTTGATGTTTGGAGTGGTTGTGCCATCACATAAGAAGGCTACTTAAATGATCAAACCTTTAGTCTGTTAGTGATTTTACCACTACGGTAATAATCTGTGACGTAAGATAGTTAATAAAACAAGCTTTAAGATGTGTAGCTGCTTTAAACATTTGGTGTTAGGAAAAAAAAAACAAGGTCCTCTGGCACAAACAAAGTGAGACATTTTAAGTGTCTGGCAGCAGCTACATTGATTTGTTTGGAATAAATAGAGGAAGAGCTGGGTAGTGCACATGAGCACTGCTGCAGAATGGGCAGACAGAGGAAAGAGTGCCACCTACAGAGATTCAAACTACATGGACAGAAAATCCAAGGAAAAAACAAACCCTCACAATGTCATCCTCACTGCTTGAGTGTCTGGTCGTTTTTGGAGCGCAGTCCCAGAAAACGCACAGCAGTGAGCGCTGAGCACCAAAGATGTTGCCAAAATAAGCTTTCAAGTGCGAGAGATTTGGCTGCAAATATAAAAAAGATGTGTTATTATTCATTCAGCACACTGTACTCTCCTGATCTGTGTTGTTTATTGGCTTCCTGTTCCCGCGGCGGTCCAGATGCGGCGTCTCATCACGCGCGGCGAGTGGCAGTCGGAGCAACAGGACACTCTGAAGACCGGCTCGTCCACCAACAACAACGACGAGGAGAAATCCCGGCAGCTGGAGAGAGAGAACAGGGATCTGCAAAAGATCATCCAGGAGGTGAAGACATCATATACGTTTTACATTATACAGACACATTCACGTCGTGTTTATTGTGAAACATGCATGTCCAAAGGCCAGACATTTAACTATACATATTCACTAATTAATTGCAATCAATTAGCGCTATCAATGCTAATAAATGCTAAATATAAGGTGAGGGGATTAGGTGTCACACCTCTATAACAGTCTCTCTCTCCTTGTGTTGTGTCTTTAGAAAGAGGAGAGGGTATCGGCGCTCCGCAACCAGCTGGCTGAGCGTCAGGCTCTGCGCAACCGCCGCCGACCCTCCTCAGGCCAGAATCAGAACCACAACGCCCCGCCCCCCTCCTCCCAGCCGGATCCCAAGTCTCTGCTTCCCCCGCCCGGCTACCCAAACCCCACCACGGACAATCACGCCCTCCCGCCCTCCTTCTCAAACTCCTCCAACCTCTACCCGGCTGACAGCAAGATGAGCCGCAACCACTGTCACAACAGCCAGATCCCACTGCTGTATAAATAGGCGAGGCACTGGGAGAGGGTGGGGTGGGTTGGGGTGGGAAGGGGAGACCGTCGCACAATACACACACACAGGGGACACAAAACACAATGAGACACTGTGACTTTCACTTGTTTCGGCGACGAGCACAGCAGTGTAGTGACACTGTTTTAAAATACGGCGTGGGAAGCACAAATAAGTGCACAGCAGTGCTTTACACTTGGCAGCTTCGGGGAGAGTCACGCAGGTAAACAACCGTCCTCACAGTTTTGATCTCACCGTGTTCAACCCAGCAACGAGGCACTACTGACTGATCAGACTAGCAGCACTCGAGGTCTTTTCAAGGGTCGAGTGAACAGATAGATCTCTCAATCATTCCTTTCCCCCCCACCATTCGTTATCTCGTTCTGTTGTGGAGACACCGCGTCAAGGATCTCAAAAGGAAACGTTTGTGTTTGTGTCTTTGCTATATCGTCTCCACCTTTTTGTCTCTCGAGTTCGTTGACTAGGCAAGCACATACAGTAGTGATTTATATTGTTCTGTAATATCTGATCTGTTTCGTCATGGAGTTGTTGTTGAATTATTTGTTTACTTTTTAGGAGAGTTGTGAAAAATGGAATTTACAAATGGACAAAGCAATGTACAGATATTTTCCCAAATGTTTCCCCTGAAGAGCGGCTGAGCTCGACTGTGTAGAAATCTCAACAATGTGCATTATTCAACAGCCATAATTTAGAAGGGGGGCCTAGGAGCTTGGCATGTATGGATGTCTGTTTTCAAGACTGTGTATTCATTTAAAAACACTGCATCTCAAAAATCCAGTCCTCTGCTAAATATTAGATCCATTTCAAAGGAGAAAGTGATCCAAGCTTGTGTACGTATAGGGGAACATTTTGATAGTTTTGCCATTTGAAATAATGTTTTACAATGTATTTTTTTTTTTAGGTTTGTGTTGTATCTATTCAGAAGTCTAGTACAGCAGTAGCCATCAAATAAACCCCTCATCCTGCGTCTTATGTATCACCGACTACTGCTGCAGCCGCATTCACTGCAGCTGATTCTCACGTTTTGTAGGGAAAACGTCCAACTTGCCAGAAGAATAGTTTGTACTCTCTGCCTCCTGGAAATGAAAGCCAATTTATATTTCTACAGCAGCAGTGCGGTGAGATGTGGGGCTTCTACGATGGCTATTCCTGTAGACATTCAGAGAAAGCACAGTTTTTATACTCGTGAATCTGTTACACGTCATTCTTGTGAGCCTTTTTTATTTTAAAAGTATGTTTTTTCTTATGATTTCCCATAACAGACAATCTGGATGGATGCTATTTTATTTTGTATTTTGTTTCTTTTCCATTTTGCCTTTGGGTAAACTGTTAATGTATCAAAAAAGGATATGCGTAAAGTAACGTGACATACTGTATTTATTCAACAGTTAATATGAATGTACTATTTCATTCATGAGCTATTTCCAGATTTTATAAAAGCAATGTACCTGAACAGCTTTATCAGCAGGTAAAACAATACTTTATCAAATATTTTTAAAAATATATATATGCCAGTGTGCACTTTAAACCGAACAAACTATGGCTACTCCACTTTATGTTGCTGTTATTCTAATAAATATTATTATTTCTCATTTTAGCTCAGGGTATGGAGGAGGACATCAATGAATGAAATAGGCCATATTTATTAACTGTGCAGTACCTGGATCAGATAGTGTAACATATGAATGCAGAAATTATTTAGGAATTGTTCTATTATCGTGCACATATACGACAATATACATGGATTTGGTGATATTTGTATTCACTATATCTAAGATCTTAAATGTTAATATATTTCAGAGTATGTGTATGCAAATATATGGGTACCATAAATAAAATAATTGTTTTTCCATTGGTTATTTTTGTGTTGCATTGATACCTTTCACTTTAGTGGAAATAGATAAACAATAGGGAGCAAAACTGGAACAGTAGTTTTTCATCGGCTGTTTTTCAGTTCGGGTAATGCTACATCCTATAAATAAAGCCACAACTCCACGATTCATTTTTCAGCTTTTTAGCAATACTTATAAACATGAAACAGCTCCTTAAAGAGTCTCCACATCCTGTGGGTTACACAGCAGAGCATGATTACATCATCCACTAGATGTCACCAGTTATTTATTGCTTTTCTGACTCCCAATGACCTTTTGAGCAACTAAGCCTGTCAGGTTGAGTATATTTGTCAGTGAAACTTGATATTTTTCTCCAGGTTGACCTGCGGGAGTCAAAGAGCTCATTTGCTCAGAAGACGAGATCATTAAACAAACGTGGGAAGCTGTTTTCAACACAACGACCAGCTGCGAAGGCCAGCGGGAACCTCGTTACTGAGGCAATAAGTGGATGTTTGTGGATAAAAAGAAACTAAAGTAGACAAATGGCTCCCAAGTACATCCGATATTTGTATGTGTGTTTTTTGCACATGATGACAATGTGACAAATCCAGCTGTGCTGCAGTTCCACACACACACACACACACACACACACACACTCACATGTCATGTGTCTTTCCAGCTGACTGAAGATGAGGTATGTGGTAATACAGGGGGTTGGTGGTGTGGAGGAGGAGGGAGGTTGTGTGTGGGAGAGAAGGTGGTGGTGGTGGGGGGGGAGGGGTTGTCATTGGGGAAAACCCGCTCTGGGTTGAGGCTTCTGTGGGCCTCCACCTGACACAGCACTCAGCAAGAGCGCAAAAAGTAGGAAATTCCCCTCATCTTGTCTGATCCAACAAAGGAAGTATTTGCTGGCTGTGGAGGAAATTCATAGCGACCATTGCCAAATAATAGACCACGCCTGCTCCAGTGTGTGTGAGCTATAGTCCTTTCTGGCTGCTGTCTGCCAACTCGACTTTCTATTTGGTATCTCAGCTATGAAATGAGTTTATCCATATAGTGACACAGACTTGTGACTTTTTTTTGTTCGTTTTTTTTCATTTTAATTAAATACATGTGCACATAAAGCATATAAATATGATATTTAACACCTAATCCCATCAATTTAAATATAAATAAATACAAATAAATACATACAGTTTGTGATAATGTTTTTGTACATAGTCCTTGAACCTAAACGCTCCAGTAAAGAGCTGTGTCTGTACCTGATACAGCAAAGAAAGTCCGGCCTACTACAATCTCAGGTCAGCATAAATAATGTACAAAAAGTGCCTAAAATATAAAAACAAATGTTGCAAACTGTTACAGTTTATAGGACTTAAAGAAATCTGCACCGCCTGTTTGGCTACAAGCTTCATCTCCATTGAGATTTAAATATTTCTACATCACCATGAGATGAATAATAATATTAAATAATGTAAAAAAAACAAACATACTTAATGTTAAAAAACGAAGTCAAACCATATGGCACTGTGCAGAGCTTTGTATCATGTTTGTTACTACCACAGCAAAGAGTCATTTCAAAGTGCAAAAATGCCGAAGAAAGTGTTGCCATCCTCGGTCTCCAGCTCTGAAAGCTGGTTGGTTTCTGTCCACAGTTTGTCTCCTTTGTTCAGCTGAAAGACTGCGCCCAGATAAATGGCGTTGTACCAGCCCTGTCCGTCTCTGAAGCCATCCTCCTGGGCAGTGTTTTGACACGCCGACCTCACCGCGTTCATCAGAGAGGCTTTCCTGCCTAGGGAGTCTGAGTAGCGCCAGATCCTGTGGCTGAGAGGTCTGTGGCGTTTTCCCGCTCCCTCCTCGCCGCCATCGCTGCAGGAGACTCTGAACGACGCCTGGCTGTAGACGAAGTAGAGGCCAGTTTGTGGGATAACAATCTGGTTGTCCACCAGCCGGAAGCCGCCCTGAGCGAACGCCTGGCCTTGACCGCTTCTCCACTCGAGCTGGCCTTGCAAACTCTCACCGTCTTCTTCGCAGCTACCTGGAAACAAAGCAAGAAGAAGCGCTGTTACAGCCTTGAAACACTTTGGTTCTTCTCTCCACAGGGTGTTTAATAATCGACAGGTATGCTATTAGGAGAGCGGGATGAAAGATTGACTGAAGCTAATGAATAACTTGTGCAACAACTTCCTTAATAAGTGTTCCTATCTAGCAGACTTCTAAAGGAAGCTGCAAATATCACACAAGTGGAAGAAAGAGTCTCTTTATGAACGCCAAGATTATGAACGCATTGTTTGCTGAGGACCAAATGCATTATGACTCACCTTCTAAATGGATGGCTGCCTTGGCTTTGCTGCTGATTTTCCTCAGTGTGGAGTGGGGATCTGAGGAGAGGAAGACAAATGTGAGCATGTCTCAAATAATCCACAAAGACTCAAGCACATCTCACAAAAAAAAAAAAACCTAAGCATTTTCTCTTTACATGAGCACCCATGCATATAATCACCTGTTTTCTCAGCAGTGTCCTTCTTGATTAGCGCTTCCGTGTGGCCTGATTGCGTCTGTATAGAGAGAAAAAAACACATTGATTAGAGCTATTAACTCGGAAATGTTCTTTTTTTGACAGAAAATACAAGGTTGTAAAAGATTAAATAAAGAAAGACAGTCCCTACCATTAATTCTGGCCTTCCACTCCAGTACCAAGCAAGCAGCAGGACGCCCCCCAGGCAAAGGGCCACAACGAGAAGGGCCAAGGACACCTTCCATATCTGCCCTGTGGAGGACTTCTTTTCCACCAAAACCACCATCCTCTCCTCAAGACCCATCTCCATGTCACCTGGTGCTGTTGTGTAGGCCACCATACTGTGTACAACACTGACCTCACGAGTCTTCACTGAGTGCAGTTTAGAAAAAACACTGGACTGTGTCTGTGTCTTCAGGTGCTTCCAGTGCTCTGCGTTGACACTTCTCTCTTTGTGTTGCTATTGTGTTAAGAGTGAACTTCTGCCAGAGAGCTTGTAGTATTTATGCTGTGGCTGCTGCTTCTGCAGAGGGGAAACTCCAGTGATGTCACTCTGAAAGCGGAGACAGGAGGCAGCAGCAGCAGCAGCGCTGAGCGACCTGGGCCATGGAGAGAAAAGAGCCGCGGCCGGGAGGGAAAGTAAAGTCACAGAATCTTTGGTGGAGTTTTACCAGAGCGTGGAACCCAACGGGAGTTGGGGTTTCAGGATGGGAAAGTGATTGGTCTCTACTTTTGGGTTTTTGAAAAAATGTCAAAAGTGTTGTAACACAACCACAGACACACACACACACACACACACACACACACACAACACACACACAACACACAGACATTCATGCGCAAACAAAAAGACTGCACACACGCTGGGACAGACACAAAGTCACAAACACATATTGAGCTCGTTACCGACTTGAGCCACCACAGAATGTAATCTCTGTCTGTAACTGCTGAGGTTTACACATGAATCCACAGCTGCACCCACAATTAGAGGTCAGACAAGATGTTTTGAAACGCCACAAAAATGTGTGGATTCTGTAAACAATTCACCTGTCCATCACCTATTTTAGTAACAGTTTACTTTAACCCCTCCTATTTAGCAATCAAAAGCACATTATGAACATTTTAATAGACAATTTGTATAACTCCAGAGAGTTGTTGAAAGGACAGTTTTATGTTTATTAATGTACAGCATGTGTCAACAACTATGACTCGTCCTATGAAGACATATCTTGTGTTATTAGATCCATTTGTGTTCATAGACCAGCCCCCACTTTTCGGTGCACACGAGAAGTTTTAGTTGTTAATAAACAAACAAAAAGATGTATATCTGCTATATTGTAGTGTGTTAAATGCTAAATCCTTATGTTTGCAGCATGAGCAGAGGTTTAGTGGCCTGAGCCAAATACCTAGGCTGTAAACTCAATGTTAGGTATCTGCTTTACACAGATGATTTACAACGTATTACCATAAATCATGTAAACTAAGGTTAAGATCTAATCAGAAGAGAGAGGTCTGACTGCATTAGAATATCCATGACTACACAAAGTACAGATTTACAATGAAAGACACCTAAAAACAAAAGATAAACATTTAAAGATAAGCTCAAATAGATGTATAGATGTATGTCACTTTTTCCTTCTGACATCGTCAGATAACAACACAAGTTTATTTTTGGAATCTATCTCAGTCTCAAAAGGGAAAACTGTTTTGAAGCAAAACTTGGCAACGCTCGTCTTTCTGTTTCAGAACTGAAAGATGATGCTACTCAACAAACTGTTTTTTACACTTCTCCTTATTGACTGTCTCTGCCTCTGTTTCCCCATTTCGCTTTCTCACCTGACTTTTTATTTTCGAGACTGAACTTTAAAGTGTTTGGGCTTTTCTTCACACATGAAATGTCCAGTTAGTTCTGTTTTTATCCAGCTGTGTTTTTTTTTTTTTTAGCAACACACTTATCTCTTTCTCAATCACTTTCCATTGCATTTCAATGACTGTTTTGTTTGTTTGCTCAGGCCGAAGAGTGGCTTTGAGTGAATTGTGTGTTTGTGTATCTTGGAAACCTGTCAGGACTCGAATGCTTCGACGAATAAATATTAACGCTGTATTTGTATATGTGTGTGTGTGTTTCCTCGTGTGTGAAATCAGCGGTGACATCTCACCTCCGTGTCGGATTGTTTCATTCCAACATGCAAACACAAACCGCAAAATGTGATGACATCATCATCATATGTACACACTCACACACACACACACACACACACACACACACACACACACACACACACACAAATCTTTGCAGTTCCTCCTGCTAACTCACCCACCACCTCTTGATTATTCATAAGAAGATCCCCAAATGAAGTTCATGGTTATGATATCCGGTGACCTCTGAGTGTACAGTAAGCTCATATACGAGTCCCAATTTTATTCTTTCAAAAATAAACATGATAGAGTTTACAGAGCCATGAAGACGTTCGTTCTCTATATGTCCAAGTACAATGGGAATCAAAATGAAATGCAGCACAAACTGTAATTTAGTTGGAAGAATTCAATTAGCTTTTTCAACACCCCTCACATTATGAATAAAGAATTCAACAGCAGTGTTGGAGATTATGTGGACGCGTGAATGGTCATCCTTCAAGCATTTTCTGGTCATGTGAAAAGATTTACATATTTAAGGAGAGTCTATCTTTAACCCTTGTAGGTTAGGAAATTCCTGGACGGGAGGATTTTGTATCTTGGATATACTGTATATCAGTAGAAGTTGTTCTAAGAAGTGATCTCTTTGTAAAATTCTGCTGGTGCCTGCAAAAACCTCACAGTCTTAACATATTCAAGGATATATATGCAAGATTTTCCATGAAGAATAGAGGGAAGACTGCACCCAGGAAATGGGAGAAATGGATCATCATCATCATAAATCAAAAGGACATAATGGACACAAGTCAGCAGGCCAAGAAAAGTACACCGCACTTGGTTCCCATTCTTTGTTGATGCTTCTCTCTCTTGTAAAATATACTAAATTTGTTTTAAATAAAAACAAATTGACCATGACTGTCTGCCATTCATTCAGTGTCATTTCTATCATGCTGTACAATCTGTTGAACCTCTCCAACCGGACAAAAACACACACTTTCCCAGTCAGAGGTCATCTGTAATATGTAACTCACAAACTCCCACTGGATTCCTCCAAGAGACAATTAGCCCTTTTCATAGAGCCGGGGGAATATAAAACTGGTAACTAAACCTGCCCAGTTTGAGCCCTCATATCTAGGTGCCCTTTTCCTTTCCCTGTGTGCCTGTATCATTATCAGTTCTTTCCTAATCGTATGGTGACATATTCCCACATGTAACTCCCCCTGCGATATCTGGAACACTTTGAAAAAAACCCTTTTGTTCTTTGCAGATTTTGCTCTTGGATTGCATCATGAACTCCCAGGATTGTGCGGTCATCACACAGTGGAGCTCAACCACAATTCAGACAAAGATTACATCAGGGCGGGAAAGTAAGGAAAGGATGGAGGAAAGAAGGGGGTGGGGGCAAGGAGGCAGGAAGTGGAGGAAGGAAGCTGTTGTAGGCGAACAAGATGCTGCGTTTATGCCACATAGTTTCATTTTCAGATTTGTTTGGTGACACAATCACAGGTGCCACATCAAGGAGGTATTGGTTTCCCTCTCATCATTCCTTCTTCAGTGTTGCCATGTGTGGGCTCAGAGAGAGCTGTTGATGTGTAAGGGAATAAACTGGGCCAAAATGAGGTTTCACCACAGATGCAAGGTGGCTTCCGCTGCATCTAGACTGTATAGTCTGGTGGCCTACAAACCTCCGCCAGGCCACCAAGAAGTTACGCTTCACCCATTAGGTGTTTTACCTCCTCTGCATCTGCCGGGAGCTTTTAGAAAACCAATAGATAAGATTCTTATCTGAATCTGGGATTTTACAATATCTGTTTACCATAACCATAAAATGATCTGTTTTTAAACTCAGGGAGTTTACCTGGTCAAAACCATAAATAAATAAACTAAGTGATAAGAAATACATTTGCTGGGTTCAGTGGGAGAGATGGCCTTCGAGATAAGCACAGAATAACAGAGGAAGAAGAGATTAGAAAGTTGCTGTGTGTGTGATGTAATACAAAATATAGCTTAAATGTTATGTGTGTGTGAAGATAGTAGGCTGATGACTTTATGTAGTGTTTTAATATTTATACTTTTTCTATTATCATTTATTTATCATTATATCTATTTTAATCTGTTTTGTGGTATCAACATTTTATTGTTGATCTATATGATTTTGAAGTTTTGTCAATTGCTTGAAAAGTGCTTTGAAGTGCAGTTCATTTGTTTGAAAGGTGCTATATACATAAAGTTGAATGAATTGATTGATTGACTGCTTTCAGTCAATCAAGTAGTTGATTAATAACTGATCTTCTATATCAGTTATGTTTGCACTAATTTATGTTTAAATGTACCCTAATTAAAATGCAAAAACACATTTGAAATTTGTCTCGGTGGAATTAATGCTTGTCACAGCATTTGTGATACATCAAACCAGATAAAGATCCATTGTATCTACCCACACAAAGTTTTTCTGTATATTAATACATTATTGTGGGTGCTCTCACTTTCAGTTTAACCTCCACATAAAGTGGTTAAAATAATCTGATCAGTCTGGTTTGTTTATAACTCATCATTTGACCCTGTTGGCTTTGTTTTGTCTTTTCACCTATAGAGCCCAACTTTGGTGATCATAATATTACCAAAACAAAGGTAAAAATAGATAAAATGCTGTTTTCAGCCGCTTTAATATGGAGATGTCTTGCTCTTCTCTGTTTTATAGCACATTAAACGCAATAACTTTGGGGTTTATTTTGACTGACAAAACTATTTTTGGACTTTGAGAAACTGGGATGGACATTTTTGCACTGTTGTCTGACATTTTATAGACATTTTATCGTGAAAATGATAAATAATCATTAGTTGCAGCCCCAGTCAAGAGCCAAACAGAAATGGTTACATTTCGTCCATAAAGCGTAGATAGATTGACTTCTTTTGGCCACTTGGGGTGGTGCAACGAGCTGTAAACACAGCTGTTACATATCATCCTTAATGAAGTTGATGTGGGGAACTTATTAGCAAACAGCTGCCTCTTTAACGTTAACATTACACATCCTACAGGCCCGGAGCAACATTAACTTTGCATTCATTTGGAGTCATGTTTCTGTCTGAAGCAGGTCAGTCCGACACTCACTCTCTTTTTAGCTCCAATTTGATCTCCGCCAAATCCTGAAGTAAATGTCTGACTGTTCAGCTGCTAAATGCTCCGCTGTGTTCACCCACTGG